CAAATTGTATTATATTTTTTATTTATTTTAAGCTTATATGGAACAGTTAATCAAGATTCTCAAGATATTACATACTATATTCGAGTATAATTAAGCGCAAAAGTTGTGCATAATTATTTATTCTATATTTAGGAGAATTCTAGAAATATAAGCATTTAAAAAATAGCACAAAACTCACAATATTTTACTACACTTTGTAGTAAGTGCTTGATCTAGATACCTAATCGTGGAAATTTGTATTATATCACAAAAGTTATTTCCCAGATGGGCTAAAATGGAAGATGAAAAAAACCGTCGAAGTGGCAACGGTGCTAACGACAGAAACAAGCGACAGACGACCGCTCTCGGGTCTAATCCCTCTTATCCCGAAAGTAATTTTGAGTCTTTTGAAATCGGTCCCGGCTTTTCGCGAAAATCCTACGCGCCGGGACCCTATCTCGCGCCAACAGAGCCTCCTCTAATGTCCTTTAGTTCTTAGTCTTTCTATATTCTCGCTGCGCCCTCTTTCTCTCCTGCTGTCGCACCTAACCTAACCAAAAAACAAAAAAAAAATAGAGCGCTCGATTAGGGATTTTAGAGAACCTCGTCCGCGAATTATTTTATAATAACAAACAAAATACATGTATAAAAAGTGCCGCGAGTCAAACGCAGAAACCGAATCGTACATTCCCTTCCACATCCCTTCGACTCGATCGGTCTCCGCACCCCCTCGGATATACGGCGAGATCGCGCCAACTTCTCCCCCGAGTGCGACTAATAAATGCAACTTTAATAGTGTAAATTGAATTGAAAATCAAGGCTGTGACTTGATGATGAGTTTCGACAGTACTGACCTCAAATCCCTGCTAAGAGCCGAAGGACCGTTTCTCTCCCTACACACTTTGCACCCTCCGCCGCCGGGCCCGAGGGGCGGCCGGGGCGAGCGACCGAGAGCCGGGAATGTGCGGGGCGAATGCTGAAACTCTCCTAAGGGAAAACGGACGGACAGGGACGGTTTTAGAATTCGCTGCGATTCGATTAGGCGCTCGTTTGTATCGGTACCTAGACGCATTAGTTTATTAGTGTATTGAGTTGTCGATTTGTATGGAATAATTTTTTTTTAAGTAATTGAAATTATCTGTTCTATTTTGGGGTACCAGTAAGTAGATTATGATGAATTTGGGTCATTACAGATAGTGACTAAATAATTGAATTAGTGAATTATTTACTCATAGTTCTACAAAAGTGGACACTTTCTTTATAAAGAACCATTAATTAGATAATGAATTTGAGTCATTATATTGTTTATTCCAAATTACTTGACCAGCTTTGTTTTAGCGCGCTAAATCTAATCGTTTAACCGGTCGCAGTTGTAATGGAATTAAAACAAATACGGTCCTGATGGTAATCTCCTGAGGGATACCGAGTCGAGTTCCATAGCCCATCGCTGATGTTTACAATCGAATGGAATATTTATAACTCCGACAGTTGACGAGCGTAGCAATATGGTTGATATTTAGGTGCGGTAAACTGACGCTGACATGTCGGGAGAGAGCGCCCAGCAGGAACGCGGGAACGGGTCGAAACGCGCGAACCGACGTCGACGTCGAGTATATATGGTAGAGGAGAGGACGTCGCCGACGCCGACGATCGCCGGGGCCCCATATTGATTTGATTAAAACTAATATTTGCGGGGGTAATCTTGCGAGTGATTCGAAAGGCAAATATGCGATCGGGAATATGCCGCTGCGGTTTTTCTCTCCGCTCCTGCTGGACGCCCGTCGATGATCATTATTCCTCCTTGTTTGCCCCGGCCCTCTTCATTATGCGCTGATTGTTTTTAAATTGACTGACGTACGTGATTGTGATTAGCTATTATGTAAGTACGTTTAGGCGGTATGGAGGGAACGGTGTATTTATGTTGGGAAATAATTCCTGCGTAGCCGATAAAATAAATATATACGCCGCATTTTGTTTACATCAGTCAAATTCGAATTTTATGTACCTACAAGTTTTATTTTTAAAGCGCAATTTTGTTAATAAACCTAGTGGTTCATTATATAGGGTGAGTTTCTTTTATGTTTTAAATTGTTAAATAAAATATGCACTATAATGCTATACCTACTCAGAAATCTGAATATTATAGAATAGTTTCTTAAATTAATATAGGTACTAAAAGCAATAAATAACTTACCCTGTACATCGTTTTTAATATTAATTTACTAAGCATTTAACATAACATAATTCACTATATTTTTATCAGCATCCAATTCCCTAATTATTAAACTATTACATTATTAAACTATACTGTTTCACAAAAGTTAAGGAAATTGACAAATATTGAGATTAATTTAAAAGTTGCAGGTTTTTTGATCGCCAAATTTAGTATGAATTGTATGGGGTAGGGGCAAAAAATCCACTTATTATAGATATGAGAGGAAACATTTAATTTCGCATATTTGAAAAATTGGTGACCAAAAAGTCTGTAACTTTTAAAATAATCGCATAATTTGCAAACTTCCTTAACTTTTGTGAAGCAGTTTATTAAATTATTAAAAATTAAAAATCATCAAAAGATTATTATGTACATATCTTTAAGTCAGTTATACCATGAATAGGTATATCATATTTAATTGTTAATTATAACAATTGTTTATAATTGTTGATAGAAATTATTGTAAAATTTGTGGATAAATCATTATAGGAAGTATATAAATCATCAGTTAAATATCATGAGTAAAATAGAAGGAAAGACCGCATAATATGCGGGATATGGACGGAAATTTAATACCCGAGGGTTGACAATTCATCGAAAAAAATTACCCCAAATCGAACGACAAAAGAAAACGCTTATTATTATTTTTTGTATTCCGATATTTCTATCATTATATCTATTATTGCTTCTGGTTTTTATTTGTCTTTTATTATAGCCGGTAATCTATTTATAGGATTCAAGAGATAATGGTATGTTGCTCTATGTCAGAGCCACGTTAAACAGGAAGTATCATTTTAGTTTGTAATTTTTTATTAATTCTTATACAGGGCGCGTCTGATGTAAATGTGAAATATTTTTGAGGGATCAAGAGATTTACTATGTTTATTAAAAAAAATTAAGTACCTATAAGGTACAGTATAAGGTATACATTTATGATCAATCGAAACTTAGAGAAATAAATAAAATTTAACTACCTTTGAAGTAGGTATTACAATAACCTTAAACCGTTTAAAATATACAACTAGATATTACATAATACTCCTCAGCAAAAGCATAAAACGATATCAACAACTCCTTCAATCAATACCCATAATACCACCTATATTACGTCGCTATACACAAAATAAAAAAAATAAATTTAATTCTCCCTCGCCCATCTATTATTAAACCTAATTACCTCCTTTAAAAAATCGATATAGCGAGAGAAAAAAAAAGAAGGAAAAACATACTGCCGACTAATCCCCGAGTCCCGTCAACCGTACCCCCGACATTGCAACATTGGAAATTCACCCGATTAATTCCAGGCCCGAGCGTAGTCGCGACGGTCGCCGCGCCGCGGCGCCGCCGTCGCTCCTCTCCCGGGGGCGGACGCCTTCGAGGACCTGGCCCTTTTCCGCGCCGAATCCTGGAGGGGCGCCAATCGCGACGGGCGCATCCCCGGCGCTTCGACTGCGCACTATTACGCAGTAGATGCCGCGATGATGCGAGATAGTGTCTCCAAGCAATCGATGCGCCGTTGCCGATGCGCCAGCTTTCTACAGAGACTCGAGGATTTTTCGGGTTGCATGAAGAAGGATTCTTAGTTGATGATGAGGACAGTATGATTTTTTTGCTGTACCTGTAGATTGCTGTGTGAATTAGGTACTAATAAAGTTCAATATGGAGACTTAAGGGAGCTTGTTAATTTCGTATTAAGTCTATAAGAGCAAACAGTAGAGTCAATAATTATAGGACAATAGAGAAAAATATTGCCATTGTCGATCAATTTTGCAAAATCAATAATAATCACTTTAGTAACGTGAAAATAATACCAACCTAACTAGCCCATTCAACTAACACCTTTTTATTTACCTACTTTTCTTTCCACCACCTAATTCCGGCCGTCTAACAAAGCACCAACCCCTATAATGTATAATTTCCATCCGAACTTTCGTCTAATAAATTCGAATTTCCTTTCCGATTTTCTCCTTTTCCACCGCCGTACGGCGTCGCGACGGCGCGGAAAAGGCGTCGGCGATTCGACGAACCTGAACCTAACTAATTAGGCTCCCTCTCGTTTTCCCTCTTTCTTATACCGTGCCCCCCCTGTAACCCTTTTTTCCCGACCGAATTCCACAACATTTTACGTAATCATTTAAAAATAATGAACGTTCGGTATATTATTATTCGGCTCGGATACTATAGGGGATCGCGTTGACGAGGAAACTCGGAGGAAGAGGAAGGGATTATACGGAGGTTTAGCTAGAGAGACTGAGATGGACGATGCCAGAGGATGCGATGTTGCCGGATTGGCAATGCTAAAAATCTGTATATAAATTTGCTGCTTGAGTTACAATGGATAAAGCAAATGATAAAACAGAAATGTAATCTATGTTCTTAAGTAAATATTATAGGTATGATGAAGATGAACTTGTAGAAATTCTTATTATTTATTTGTATTGAATTATTTATACTTAACGAAATACCACTGTAAAGCGATATTGTTATTAATTTTTTGTTAAAAACCAATAATATTAATAAAAACTGACCCTTCAAACAAATCCAGTTACAAACGATTCCTAAATGAAACGAAACCGCTTGTAGTGTTCGTAAATTTGTGTCATTAAAATATCGAATTGGTAGTAAAGTAAGTAGGAAAATTTACAAATTTTACAAATTTTTCTTCCTTTAATATAATCCCAAATTTTGGTCCGCTTTTATACCCACTTTCCATCCTTTTTTTACTTCTTTTACAACCTTCCCAAGTTTCCCTCACCATCAATCCATTTTTTTTGTTAGTACCATTCTTTTAACAAGTTTTATAGCGATGGCTTTGGCGGCTGCTCTGGCTCTATCCGGTGTCCCGTTGGAAGATTTGACCAACGAATTCCAAGATGGCGTAATCGACGCCATTTTGATACTGAAAAAATCGAAAACGCCGGATCCTTCTCCTTCGACATCGCCCGATTCTTCGACGCCCACCTCACCGACGAGCAGTTGTTTTTCGGACAACAGCGAAATATCTTCTTCGACCAAAAAGATATCTTCTTCAGCAATATGTCGCCGGAGTTTTACTCACTACCAATTCGATATGATTGATGACTTTTTTACGGTAAGTTGTACATACCAAGTACTCTTGGTTCATCCTTTTGCAATCTCTGCAAACTTGAATTAAAAAATTTCCAGAACATGGACTTTCTGTCGCAGTTTCCCTACGACTTGCAGTTTTCATTCTGCGACAGGAAAGTGTTGTACCAGAACAGGGACCTCATGGATTTGGCGGGGAACTTGAGAGAAACGTCGAATTGGATGTGCCGTCCAAGTGACTGCTCATCGACGAACGAATCCAGTGAAATATCCTTGCAAACGTTTTCTGACAGTTTTTATAGCAAGTCGCCGGTGGGAGATAGGCCGGGATCGTTGCAATGCATGGTGTCTTGCAGCGAAAATGATTGTAGTTTTACAGAACCCGCGTTGGATGAACAGTTTGAAGGTACTTTGAATCAAATTTTATGATTTGCATATATTGGGGACGACGCGATAAGAAAGCTGATATCTCAACTAACTTAGATATTTACTCGATTTATCCAGAAGATTGGGATTGTTGAACAGAAAACGTGTACTAATGTTTGTTAACTAAGTAATTTTTTTTAAATTATGTTATTTTAGTGTGTATTTTGATGTCGTTTTTAGCTGGTGTTATATAAAGAACGTACTTTTTTAAAATTTGTATATAAATGATTTAAAATAAGGATAAATAAATAAAAATGATATAGGTATTATAGTATTGTGGCATTTTTCTTATGAGAATGTGGGACTATTTTTTACTGCATGGCAATGGATAGTATAAGCAAATTAAGAAAAATGAAAGTATAAAAATCTGTTTTAAATTAAGTTATAGGTAGACTTACATCAATATCAGGTGGTTGGGAATTAAAGCTCGCCATTTTCACATTCACTATCACTAAATTCTATCTGTCAAAACTGTCAAAATTTCGCAAAACATCTTCAGTCATTAACTTTACTACTCATCGAGAGTTCTTATTGGTCAGTGATAAGATGGAATGAAAATCAAGCACTGTGATTGGCTACACTCACTGTCGTCATTGACAACTATGAAGGCATTTAAGTATAGATTGATTTCCAATTTTAGGATAATAGAAGCTCATTAAATATTTTGAATTAAATCATGAAATATTTTTAATAAAACAACACAATTACGCTCTTTATAACTCGTTCATCAAAACAAAGAAAGACTTGCTATTAGCTAGAAGAAAAAAAAACGCGAATCGATTCGCGTGCGATATATAAATCAAAATTTCCTTCATGAACAGCACCGGAGCGAGCGGGGCGGGGAAAGGGGGCCGCCCGTACGCCGTCGCCTCATCGATGAAAAGCCAAGGAAACTAACAACTCCCGTCTAATTATTCCGGGTAATTAAATGTAGGAAACTTTCGGCGAGTCGCTTTCAACTCGCGGCCGCGACGGCGATGCAATTAGGAGAGTTCGGGAGCAGAAACGGAACCGGGCGTGCATGCTGCGTCGCGGCCAAGGCGATTTTCACACGCTAAACACGTTTTTCTTACCTGTTCGGTGTCCCAAACTGAACTAATAGGTGAACAATTTGTTGATTATTTTTGCTAGGTTTAGCACAAACGGTGCATTTTACGATAATACTCTTTACGATAATAAAAGCTTCAATAAAGCTAGACTAAAAATGAATTAAAAATTAAGTATTTACAAGTTGTATTTTTATAATCGTTGATCGTTGATTTACCGTACAAATAGATGAAGATGATATTTTTTTCTCATTAAATTACAGAAATTGGCCTTTGACTACTAAGCTATTCGGCCATATCTCAATGACAGTTGCTAATTACAGGCAAGATTCCCACAGTGCCAAATCATATAAATATTTTTCACTTTCTCTTTATTCTACTCGTCAAACGTTCTTAAATTCATATTTTCATCATTTTATCCTCCCATAAAATAGTATGAATCATAATTTTGTACTAGTGAACGTTTATTAGTGAGTGATTATGGCAACATGGTATAGAAAAACACCGAACGTGTTCTACTGTCATTATTGTCAATGTCAACCGATTGACATAAATGTCAAAATCTGACGTTTGTGTATTTTATAAACAAACATGTTTTGTATATTTTAGGATTTTAATGATTATCGTTAGGCGAACGATGTAGTACTGAAAATGTGTTTGGAACAATGCACCGACTGTTTCGCTAGATGGAAATTATGGATAAGGCCGATATTCATAATTCTCTACGGTCTAGCAGCCTTAGTTTTCATCCCTTTGTTTTTGGTGAAATCTCTCAAAGACGGCTTCAACAGGCACGATCAGGAAATCCTGATAGGCGGAATATTCGTCTGGGTGGCCATTCCTTTGTCCTGTTGGGAAATCATACAGCACATTATACATTACGCGCAGCCCAAACTACAGAAACATGTTATTAGGTGAGCGATTTATTCATTACGATTGATACAGTACTCGATTTATATCCTCTTGTAGAATATTATGGATGGTGCCGATTTACGCTGTTAATGCAGTAAGTGTTGTCATACAATTGCGTCTCATCTACAAGGTTTTTTATTCCAGTGGCTGGGCCTCATTTACCCGAAACAATCCGTTTACGTAGACAGCGTAAGGGAGTGCTACGAGGCATTCGTTATATACAATTTCATGAAATTCCTCTTGAATTACCTCAACATGGAGATGGATCTCGAAGCGAGCTTGGAACTCAAACCGCAAGTCAAACATATATTCCCGCTATGCTGTCTACCCGATTGGGAAATGGGCCGGTAAGGATACTCTTATCTGGTGTTATCTTATTCAATCGATTTGTTTGTTTTTAGAGAATTCGTTCACATTTGCAAGCACGGAATATTACAGTACACAGTCGTAAGGCCTTTAACCACGGCGATTTCTTTGTGAGTACTTTTAAACGGTGCAAAGTGGAGTTAATCGAGTTATTTAAATTATTTCGTAGTTTGTGTAAAACTTTCGATGTCTACGGGGATGGTCAATTTAAAGCTAACGTGGCGTTTCCTTACCTAACAGCCGTTAACAATCTATCCCAATTCATAGCGATGTATTGCCTCGTAATGTTCTACAAAGCGAGCCTGGCCGAATTGAAACCGATGAGACCGCTACCGAAATTCCTCTGCATCAAAGCCGTCGTGTTTTTCTCGTTTTTGTAAGCATTTTAAGAAGCTCCTAGTCGTTAAAATGCCTATAAAAAACAGTTTGTTTTCGTAGCCAAGGGGTGCTTATACAGCTAGCGGTTTACTTCGACTTGATCAAGCCGAGCCCCGACACCCCGGACGACGGGCCGAGCCTCTCCACGCGCCTCCAAAACTTCCTGATCTGCATCGAAATGTGCCTGGCGGCCATCGCGCACCACTACAGCTTCTCCTACGAGCAGTACCTGACGCCCGGCTCGCCGACGCCCCGCCAGTCCTGCTGCTCGGCCTTCCTGGCCATGTGGGACGTGTCGGACGTGCGGACGGACATCAGGGAGCACCTGGGCATCGTGGGGAGCTCGATCAGCCGCAGGATTCGGGGCAGATCGATGTACAGCGTCCCGCGGGGCGATGATGAATACGCGAATCTGGTGTCGCCGAGATCGGCGACGAGCGTCCCGACGCCGGGGTACTATCAGACCGATTGTGATGAGTTGGTGGTGAATTACGGCACCGTTAGCGCTAGTCAGCCTGTCGGGGTGCACGACAATAAATTTAACGCTAAGACTTAAACGGCTTTAATGGTTAGATGTAAAATGTATACTCTATTATTATGAATTTATGGATGTTTATATGTATTGATTGGATTGATGCGTTCAATTAAATATTTATGTATGTTAATATATTTTATTTTTTTTGTGGAATTTGACATCTAATTAGAGCTATTCTCGTAATTGAAGCTCGGAATGTATGCAAAGAGTTTAGAGCGAATATGAGCTTATATTATATGTGCATGATGTTGAAATATGCTGAAAATATGCAAATGTAAAAAGGTTTGTTAATGTTTTTTTTATAAAAAAATCAAATTTTCACTCTTATTTGCGATCTTCTTCGCTATTTTTATGAAATTTTCCATCAATTTGCTCATTTTTTTATGAAAAATTCAAACTTTTCACTCTCATTCGCTCTCTTTAGCTATTTTTATGAAATTTGCATCAATTTACTCATTTTTTTAAAGGAAAATTTCAAATTCTTGAAACAACCACTAAAAATTAAAAACCCTCATTTTTGTTAATAACTTCTTTCATTTTAGTTTTAACATATTTTTCTAAATCTCCACAATAATTATTATTTTCTCTTTCCAATGAAAATAACAGCTACAAATAAACATAAATTTTCAGATTCTCATCTAGGCACATTCCCAGAAATGGCTCAGTAATTAACATTACTCAAAATAAGCAAAAATTACTCAAAACACACAAAAAACTCAGCTTGCATATAACCCGAGCTCCACTCATAACACATCAAACTAAAGTACTTTCGATGGCCTTATCCGGAAACATGACAGGCTCCAACCCTGTGGTGTTTGTAGCAGTAATTTCAATAACGCCGGACTTCACTGTAGTTCTATTGTACTCTTCCAGCTCGTTGTAGAAAGATATCATGCAATAAAACCCGTACCACCACAAAACTGAAACATTCCAGAAATTACCACACTTAATACACTTGCATCAGCTACTTACTGCTCATAAGTAAGATTCCAACAAGTCCGAAAGACCTCGTTATGGATTTGAACTCGAACATATTTATAGCTGAGAATACCGAGATAATGAACAGATTCGCCATTTGTAATATGAGATACAAGAACACCCTTCGTTCGCATCCCTTAAAAATTATTTATCCTCAATTAATCTGTTAATTTAAAGCGTGCAATTTCTACTTACTTTTATCAAAGCGGATATCATCACTCCTGCAATACCTAAATTACAAACGCCCAGTAAAACAGTCATAATCAAATTTAATCGGTCCTCATCGTTCTCCTCATCCGCCAGCGTCACCGAGCCTGATATCATCGATGTAAATCCATATATCTGGTAAAAAATATGTTATACAATTTAATATATTAGGTATAAAGTAACTTACCAAATTACAACCGGTCATAATCCAAGCACCTGTTTTCAAACTCATGCAAAAGAAGAACGTTTTGGGCATCATCGTTGCGAACCGTGCGTGAATTTCCGCGAAAATAAAATCGGAAAGGGATCGGAGAGAAAGAGGACGCGACGCCAGACGTCTCGGCGCCCGTCGACGACGCTTTTCTCCGGGTGCTGGCGAGCGGATTCGTTTCAGAGAAAATCACTTCGCAATGAACATCAACGTGTGTATTTTATTCATCGTATATATTAAATTTGTAGGTGTAAACATAACGTTATATTATAAATAATTTAACAGCGATATAAGTTATTAATTACAAGATAATTTTATAAAAAAAGTTATTAATAAACTACAGAAAATATTATACAATTTGGGGGAGTCATTGCGAATGTTTGAAGATATGGAGTATTTCGAACAAAAAAAACGTTTCGTATAAAGGTACAATCATAACCAGTACTTTCGTTTCTTCAAAATTCGAATTCAATCTATTCAGTTCAAAAATCGTTAAAACTAATACAAATAAATCAACTTGGCAACACCGCATGGTAATTGCCGATTCGTTTCTTTTTGTTTTGTTTAGATTTTAGGATTAAAATCAACACCTATTAACGTACAGTGAATCCCCTAACACGCTGTATTATACAGGGGGTTCTTGAACTTAAGGCATTAAATTCTAGGGATGGTAGTTTGCATAATTCGAGACCGATTCGAAGATTCATTTTTCTAAAAAATTTATAATAAACAAAATTTGAAATATTAAAAATATTTCAAAGAAATGCGGTCCTGTACATCGATTGAAACCCCTCGACCCCTCTAATTTTTTAGAATCATGGATAAATTATAAAAGTAGGCCGGATTTTTCGAACGATAGAAGAAAATAAACTTTAAACTCGAAAGGAGTAATAGCTCACCTATTTTGTTGTTGAAAGCTGCTTAATTGTTCCAGAAAATCACTATAACGAACAAGAACTAAACTAAGAACACGAACTAAAACAAATAAATCACTAAAAGTCTAATCACAAAAATCTATTTAATCCCGATGTTATAATCAAAACAATACAATTCTCACTGATAACGATCGGTATCGATAACGTTTTTCGAAAGCTGGAGGGCGGAGGGGGAAATTTTCGCTTGCTGATAAATACACCGAATCTGTTTTTTTTTGAGTTAAAACTCCCATCAGCTGACTATTCAGGTCAGGGTTATATTCGTTCATTGCATTTATTTCTAATGAATTCTAATTTTTTAGAAAAATGAAATCTTCGAATCGGTCTCAAATGATACAAACTACCACCCCTAAAATTTACTGCCATAAGTTCGAGAACACCCTGTATTATTGATAAAAAACACTAGCCTTAAAATTTTCTTAACTACCATACGCACTATTAATAGTCGTAATAAAAGTATTCTATTCGTCTACAAAAAGAAATAACGTGCTAATAACATCGTGAATATTTTTCCACTCTGTTTAAAAAATCGTACAATTCGAAAACCACTGTATTCAAATTAAACTGGGTTACTAAACATTACTTTTCGTAGATAAAAATAAATAAAAGAAATTCGCGCGAATATTCGACGGTTGTTTGCTCGCACTAGTTAGTCAATTTACGAATTCAGTAGTGACTCGATCTAACGGAATATTTATAATTTATTACCGAGCATTTTTATTAGTCGATGTTATCAAAAACTCGTCTTTTAATACCATTGAATTGAACGAACAGAGTCTATACAGTATACCCTATTATTACACCACCAGTAGATACATTTCAGTGTAATTTAAATGTTTTTCTTTCCGATAAAAACTTCCACTACGACAGCTAATTTTCATCCGAAGAATAAAGGTACCTGGGACTCCTCGACGTCACCCTGAACTCCACCGGCATGTCGTAGCACTTGCAAATGCAGCACGACGGGAACTTGAACCAATCGGAGAATATCCCGCGGCACTCGTTGTTCGGATCGTAGGCGAGCAACCGGTGCAGCCGGTACTGTTGCTCGCACCTGCAACCCTCCCTGCAGTGCATCTGCCGGTGCTCGAAGGCGCACTTCTCCCAATGCACGTACTGCTCGAACGGGTACATGTTCAGCAACGCCAGCACCTCCCCCCGCGTGTTGTTCGCCCAAAACGGCGCCACCACCTCCTCGCGCACCGGACAGGCGTTACTGAAACAACAGAAATTTCACCTCCAAATACTATAGAAACATCTAGAATCATCTGGTGCATCCAAAAGAAGTTACTGACTTTACTGGAAGAGAATATAAAAAGAACCTGGTGCAATCTAGGGAGAGGCCTCTGGACTTACTTGAAGAAGGTATAAAGCATTAAGGATAGGGTGCAACCTAGATAGTATTAAAGCAGTCAATAAAGAGGCATCTGGACTGACTTGAAGAAGGTATAAAGCATTAAGGATAGGGTGCAACCTAGAGAGTATTAAAGCAGTCAATAAAGAGGCATCTGGACTGACTTGAAGAAGGTATAAAGCATTAAGGATAGGGTGCAACCTAGAGAGTATTAAAGCAGTCAATAAAGAGGCATCTGGACTGACTTGAAGAAGGTATAAAGCATTAAGGATAGGGTGCAACCTAGAGAGTATTAAAGCAGTCAATAAAGAGGCATCTGGACTAACTTGAAGAAGGTATAAAGCACTTGTTGCAACCTGGAGATCTAGAGCAACCAATAAAGAAACCTCCGGAGAGGCTTAAAGATATCTGGTGGAACTTCTAGAGATTTCTACTAATATTTATAGATCCTCCAAGCAATAAGCTGAATCAATAAACTTACACTCCCTTCATGTTGTAATTAACGTGCATTTTCTTCTTGGTGTTATCCTCGTTGTCCATATCCTGGAACAGCACCGTCTCCATGTTGACCTTCTCGTCGGTTTTCTTGGCCTCCGAGGCGACCTCGGTGGTGGTGGTCGCCGCCGTCGTGGGGCTCGTCGCGGTGGTGGCTTCGCCTTCGGTGGTGCCCTCCTCGATCGGCTCGGTGCTCGCCTCCGTGGTGGTGAACTCGTCGGGTTTGTCGCGCGCGTCTTTGGTGGTGTGCTCGGCGTTCTCGCGAAAGTGCGGCGCCGTCTGCAACCCGGCCAATTTGATGGAGATGATGGGCTCCTCCGAGTAGATGAACTTCGTGTTGAGCACGTCGTCGTTGACCGGATCGTCGGAGAAGAAGCGCGCCTCGCTCTCCACCTCGTTGTCCGCCTCGTTGTCCTGCTCCTCGAAGTGGTACCTAGAAACATCTTCATCGAACTGTTCTTGTAGCTGGAGGCGTTAGTGGCTTACCTGGAGTATCTGAGGGTGTTTTCGATGGGCTGCAGGATCTCCGGCTCGTCCTGGAACTCGGTTTTGAGGACGTGGCCGTGCCGCTGGTCGCCGTACATGCGCCTCATGAGGCCCTGGTTGTCTTTGATGAAGCGCCGGACGGCCTGCCAGGGGTACGTTTTGCCCGCCGACGTGCAGTAGCCCTGCTTGACCAGATCGCAGGGCGGCTGGTGCATCTTACCGGAGCGGTAGGGGCGGCCGCAGGCGGCCTGGTCGCCGCCCGAATCGTATCCGTACTCCAAGGTGCCGCGGGCGGAGACCTGGAATCGGTACAGTACCTACTCATTGTATCGAAATCGATTTTAGCGGTGTTGCGAGTGCACGTCGAGCTGAATTGCGTATAGATGAAACTGGCCGGTACTCGTTTTGTATGCATTGCACCGGGCGAGCAGATTCATCAGTATGTAGGTCACTAGGTTAGTTTTAACGTTTTAATTTATTCAACACACTATTGCTTTCACGAGAGTCTCCATGTTGATTTCCCTCTCGAAAAAGTAACGTTATAAAGTATACCTAATGTGTAATTGGTTTCTTATCGGTACTATCGAAAAAGTACGATACAACCTTAATGGATTAAAAAAAAAGCGAAAATGGAAATTCGATCAGTAAAAGTTTCTCTGTTGAACTTTTGTTTTGCTCGTTAAATTCCTGCGAGCTTGTTTGCTAGTCGACAATAAAATAACTTGAAGTGAAATTAGCAATTTAATCGGATTTATATATCGCATATCATTCATTAATGACGTTCCAAATATTCAACAGAGTCGAAACGTTCACGTACACATTTGCAATTTAATGAAACATTCACAAAACGAACGTGCAATTATTAATTATACTCCAATTAGTAGACAAAAATATCGCAAACTACACCCGTTAAAACTTCCCCTTATATTAAATTCAAAGCAGTACTTACTAGAAGCACGAAACAAACTAGCATCTTGCATCTCAGCCGCTTCTAGTGTTCGCTTTTCCCGCGGGAAACCCGCCGTCTCGGCATCGTCGGCGTCGCGACGCGGCTGTTATTCCACCGAAACGTACAATGTAACAAACGCGTTTTGGTACGCTCGAAGCGCGACCTACTAGCCGATTGCAAGTCGAAGACCAGTTCCTGCAGAGCTCCGGCCACTAGAGTCGCTCAGCGGTGCCGACGAAGAACTAAAACCGCGGCCCGAAGGCCCTGGAAGTGAAGAGTTCAGTAACGAGACGTAGTCAATGGTGATGCCGATGGCCGGCCGTACACTACTAGATGTTTTTAAGTTAATGATTCTTGTATATAGGGTGTCCAGGGAACTTTACTCTATAGGTCAATGTGCTGTGGTGACACTTTCATGTACTGGTTTTAATGTAGTGGGAGGTACTTCTCCCTCCATTGATCTTTACGAATTTTGTTTAGGTTGTTTTTTTATCTTCTATTGGGTCGTGGTTCCTATAATGAATGTAGTAATGTCTTATAAACCAATCTGACTTTAGTTATCATTCTAGTGAGTCATTTGATCTTGTTCAACCCCAGATCTCATTTCCATGGAACATCTTACATGATTAGTAGACTTTATTTTGTGTTGTCTTTTTTATGCATGTTTGGTACAAATGTTAGAGTAGGTAGGTAGAGGTTCTGTACTTTGTAAAACTAAATCTTTTAATTGCGGTTAGTACTTGGTACAAGGAAGAAGGAAGTGATGCGTGCGTGTATGGTCGGCTATAAGCGACACATTGTTTCTGCTCGCCGTGGAAGTAAACGAGGTTTCTCTGGTTTTCTGCTTTCTGTAGCGGCGATGTCCAAGAAAAAGTAAAGCAAAGTGGGCCAAATCGCTCCTCCCTCGTGCGTCGGCCCGGCCTCGGGCCGTTTTTTCGTCTTTTTTTTTCTCCAACGCGCCTCGCCGATTATACGGTTGTTTGTCGGGCGATCGGCTTGTTCATTCTTAATTTCGTTGTGTGTAATTTTCGACCGCTGTGACACCGTCCACGAAATTCTCGTATCGACCGTTTTACCGGCGACTCTTATTATTCGGTTATACACTTTTTATTCCATTTTGGATTTCTTTTAGACTGTGTTACACTTTGTCGTGAATTAAATTTGGAAGGCAAAATGGTCAAATAAAGGAAAACACTAGTGACACTAGCTGATACTAGCGCCCCTGTCGGGAATCACATCATCCCCCACTCTACACAGGAGTTTCCTGACCTGTTAGGAATTGGAAACTCTGTATAATAATAATCCAGATATATTGATAATTTGGAGAAACTTAACTTTGAAACTATTAATATACAGGTTGCTCCATTTTTCATTGCAACATAGGCTATGGGTGCAACAAAGACAACTTCAATTAGACACTTATAAAGGAAAAAGAAAGAGTGACATTTGTGTCATTGCAACTTTTCACTCTGACAACTGTTATTTTAATAATATTTCTTTGTTCAACTCATAGAAATGCCCATGTTGCAATCGCAAATGAAGCACGGTGTATAATATAATCTCTATAATCTATATAATCTCAATATTTATTCATGTTCCAATAGTTATAATTAGCTAGTAAATCAAACGAATCGATGAAATAATCAATTTATTTCCAATCGAACGAAAAACGCTCGCAAAACAAATCGTTTGCGGAGATCAAACGAACCTTAAAGCGCTTTGACTTTCAGTTGCTTCATTTTCGGCCCCCGTTTCTTGGCCTGTCTTTTCTCCTCTCTCAGCTCCCACCGTCTCTGGCGCTCCGGATCCTCCTCGGCCATGATTTTCTCCTTCTCCAGGCGCCGCTTCTCTTCGCGACGCGCCGCCGCCGCCTCGGCGCGAGCGGCGTGCGTCGACTTCAAGAAGGCCTCCTCCACCTTCTGGCGGTTCTTTTCCGCCTTCGATTTGGCTACAAACAATTTCACAATTAATCAATATGCACTCGTATTGCACTTATTACCTTCTTTAGACAGTCTAATACGCTTAATCTTATCTATACAATAAAACACCATGTTCATTAAAGGTGTGATCTTCGAGCAGGCCTCTTCGAGAGGCATCCCTTTAAGAGGTAAGTTGAAACCGAATAAAATCACCTAAAAAATTAACATTGTATCGAAACTCCTCGATTACTAACAACTACAAACTTTTTCAGTCTCCGGTAGTTTCAGCGCCCCACCGTCATCAGTCTGCTTGGCGCCGGAGTATTGATCGGATATATGTATGTAATCGATGTATTCGGGGTACTTGTTGATGACGCTGGTGACCTTGTGATCCAATATGGCGGAGGTGGCTTCGGAGATTTCGCTCATCACGTTGAACGAGGCAGGTACGTTGTATTTGTCGCCGGATTTCCGTTCCGGACAGTACACGGACAAATCGGCCATGTCTCTGGCGAGGTTCGAGGCGGTCTTCTTCGAGGCCAGGCAGAACACGAACGAGTCCATGTCCTCTTTGTTCATCCTGATGGTTACGTGGAGTTGATCGGTGGTGGGGCGCATCATACCGGCTAATATAGCCAACAGATCTTGACGCTGCAATAATAACTGTTATAATAATTATCTTAGGAAGATGTATACACGAATAGGAACCTTAATTAGCTTCAATTCGACTAGCATGCCTTCGCAACATGTTCTTCCGCTGCACCACAAGGTAAAAACGTTCTCGCTTTCTTTAACCAAGCCGGTGGTTTCGTTTCTATCGGCTACGCTATCGTCGCCTACTAGCGAAAAGTTCTCTTCGAGCAGTTGCTTGTGGGTGTTGAACCAGGTGTTGGCTATGCGGCTGTTCTTGCTCTTGCCCGTCGCGAAGTTGATGAAGTAGACGATTAAGCCGGACATCATCAGTATCTCCAGATAGTAGCTGTCCCAGTTCTGCCTGAAATTAATGGGTACTTTGGCGATGGTGATCTGGGGCTCGGCGTCGACGGTTTCGTCTTTCCCTTCGAAGCCCTCGAATTCCTCCACGTCCTGGAAGTGCTCGAATTCGGAGTCGTCGTCGTCGACGACGACGTCCTCTTCGTCTTCGTCGGGTTTGATTTTGCTCGGGGGAGTCTCTTCGGAGGATTGGGTGGGATTAAGTTGGTCATCTGATTGCTCCGAGGTCAGGTCGTCTTCGACGTCGAATTCTTCGAATTCGGCGAATTCGTTGTCTGATACATCCTGATATTCGTTGGATAAACTGATTTGATATATGAATAAGACGATGAACAGGTATTTTAACCGCATTTTAGAAGGTTTATCGACTTTTTATCTGAAATTTATATTGACGATGTCATATAACCTATATTTTTATTGACATTACTTATTGACAGTTGACGTATTATTAGTCTTCTTTTTTTTTTAAAAATTAAATATATCTTTCCTTATATTCCATAATTATATCCAAATTTTTGATAAATTAATTTAAAGTGTTTTATTCAAAAAAATTAATTCATTTTACATGTGCTATTTTTTTTAATCTGTTTCTTTTTACATTTAAAAAAGAGGCCATTAGCAAAAGAGTAAAAGCTGTCATATGTCAATGGTATCTATCACGTGCTTATCTGTCATGTCACATGTCAATTTGTTTACAAATTTTGAACTTTTTTAATAACTAATTTCAACTAATTTATTTTACTGTATAAATTCAGTGTCAGTCGACAATTTTTGATGAAATAAATCGAGCAATCAAGTAAGTACATTACCAAGATAGTTAAGTGAATTTATTATTATTTTATATAACATTTTTTACCAAAAGTTATGACTACCACAAACCTTCCTATGTGATTTTAAATTAACAATTTGCATCCAAAATTCAACTGAAACAACTATAAAATATGTAAATTGAGTATTTTATTTAATCTGAAAATGAGTAGCCCAGATAAACCACATATTACATATATTATATGAGGCAGATGTAGGAAGAAAGTACCAAAAATGGTGAGTTTCTGATCATAATGGATGAATTTACAGAAATGTTCGATGATATATCGAGTTATCTAAACGACTATAATAATATTAATTTCGAAATTACGTTGAAAAATCGAGTCAACAACGTTTATATCGTACATGTACCTGGAAAAATGAATAACAAAATTATCATCGCCATATTATTGGAATAATTCAGATAGTACACAACGAACAATCGCTCGCTAACCTACCACTACAGTTCATTAAAAAGTGCCAATATGAAACACCAATCGGTCATTTACGGCGCGTTACTGATCGAAATCGCGACGAGCATATACATGAAAATCCCCGTGAAGAAATGGGAAAGAACCTGCACCAACCAGCCGGACTGTTCGCTGATCATCTGCCCGAAATTGAACTGCAAATCCTGGCAGATACCGATCCGCCGGCCCTGCGACTGCTGCGCCACCTGCGAGCCGCCCTTCTGCCGCTCCCCGGAGGACTGCTCGTTCGACTTGTGCCGCCCGCTCAACTGCCCCGCCGGCGAGTCGCCCAAGAAGCTGGCCTGCAGCTGCTGCCCCATCTGCCTGCCCGCCGACTGCCGCACCCTCGACGAATGCCGCACCGTCCGCTGTCCCGACGCCGCGCTCGCCTGCCCGCCCGGCCAGGCCCCCAAGACGATGCAGTGCAACTGTTGCCCCGAATGCGCCCCGCCGGCCTGCAACGGCACCGTGGAATGCGCGGTGCAAGCGCACAAATGCCCCGACGTGAGGTGCAAGTACTACCAGGAGAAGGTGTACCTGCCGTGCAAGTGTTGCCCGGTGTGCGTGCCGGCGCAGTGCAACCGGGATTGCTCGTTGGCGAGCTGCGGAAAGGTGAAGTGCCAGCCGGACGAAACGGTCGTCAAGCACCCTTGCCGGTGCTGTCCCAAGTGCGTAAAGGCGTTCGACGGGTGCGAGTTCGCGCGGTGCGACGAGTCGTCCTGCCGGGCCGGCTTCGTCAGCAGGAAGTTGACGGGTTGCTGCGCGGAGTGCGTGCCGCAGGGCTGCAAGGGGCCCAAGGAGTGCGCCGAGGTGTTGTGCTTGAAGCCGAGGTGTTCGAGCGACGAGGTGTCCATCACGCCGTTGTGCGAATGTTGTCCGATTTGCGTGAAAGTGTGAGACTGTTTGATTGAAAACGCTTCGATTTGTTGTGTTTAAAGTTTATTTTTAAAATTGTTACATTTATAATAAAATTACGATTGATTCTTCAGCCATTTAATGTGAATGAAATAAATCCGGAAATTTGTACACTAATATACAGATATACATCTACTTATGTTTAATTACATTTATTATTACTAATAGTTTTTTTAATATCAAAATAAATTCGACAGAAATCGTCGAGTTTGTCTTATGCCCTATTTTATTTGGGTAAAAATCGAGTAGGGGACGAAGACAAAGCGATTTCTAATGAAAAATTTAAGCGACTAGTACAATCACGAATCCTACATTAACAAAAAAATTGCAACTAAATTTCTTTTTAAGCGGAAAAATGGTCCTTTATTTCGAAAAAATTGATGAATAAGGGAGCATTTTTACATTAGTCAAATCACAATCACTTTAATTAGCACTGTTTTTGTTCAGTCTAAATAATACATGTTTCCAATACTAAACAGTTTGTTTAAAAAAATATCGGTGCATTGATTTTTTTTTCGAAAAAATAATACGTTATAAAAAATGTGAGATTTACACAACAGTGGAATGTAATTTTAAATGCAAAATATATTAAATTTAAATCCACATTTTTTTAAAGACTGAATATATTTTTTAATTGAAAAATATTCAGTAATTACTGTAGTATAAAGTGTTAAGTCCATTTTGGCGAATTTTCAAGCGAAATCCGTGTAAACTCCTTCGTCATTGAATTTTTTTGTCATTATAAATCACTTGAACTTTGTTTGCTCAGAATAAAATAATTCACTTTTCGAATAGAATAAAGAGAGGTAAAAAAATCGTTTGTATATACAATAAAATTATCTTTACCAACATAAATAAAATATCTTAAAAGAGAGTTTTATACACAAAAAATAATTTTTACAAGAATACTAAAATTGTTTCATCATAGGAACAAAAACCTTATTTACTTTAAATGCATCGTATCGATTAATTTTCCCGTATGGCTTCAATCTCGTCTCGAAAATTAGTTTCACAAAAATAATTTTTATTCAAAAAATTATCAGTTGTATCCGAAATAACAAATTTTGTGGTAACATTAAATAATGAAATATGCATCTCTTGATCTGACACAAGAGATGTATATTTTGTACATTTCTTACTCACTTTGAAGCATAAAAATAATTTCATTTAGCGAATCTAGTTTTAGATGTTCATATGAAAAAATATACCTAGGTTGATATTATATAAAATATTGTTTCATTTACATTGATAACATTTAAAGTAGAAATATAACCCGTAAAAAGCTACAAACTTCTATTTTACGTGAATAAATTGTTGAAATAGAATAAGCGTTTTTGTCCTATCGTACAATTGACAAATTGTACCTACCATGAACCTTTCCTTAACGATACATAAGATACATACAATAGATTCATGAGTATTGTTTTTGTGTATTGATATGCAACACTAATAAATAAATATTTACATTATATCATCATTTCTTTCCGACATAAAACTCACTGGTTAGGGTTCGCGAAAATGTTCACACCGCTGAGACTTGGGTCTCTTCGTCATCTGAGCAAAAAATAAAAAATAAAATAAAATAATATACTCTTAAAATAATAATGGAAGTCGCTAACATTAAGTACCGTAATTTGTTGTATTTTTTATATCTATGAAAGAAATTAAAAGCATATGGCTGTAAAGAGGACCCAATGAGGTCAAAAAAGGATCGAATAGATGTCAAAAGTGTTCCAAATTGAGGTACTTAAAATGTTTGAGCGACTTCGAGTTCGAGTAAATAAATGAATACTTTTTGTACTTGTCAGTTTCGTGCTCGTGTCTTGTCAGAAAATGATGATGTTTGATGGATGTTACACCATTATTATGACAGTGTCATATTCATCGGTCGAATCAAAAATGTCGTCACCTAAATAAAAGATTTTTTGTTTTTGTATATTGAAAATTATCTCGATTTTAAAGTTAGCGCGTTACCAGGTTTTTCGTTAGTCACATGTTTCTCCTTTGGCCTGAAAGTTTTCTCCACGTTGTGTTACTTTTTTCGTATTTAAGTGTGTTCTATGCCATCCATAGAACATGACTCGTGTGACAGATAACACAATGTGAAGTTTATTAGTCGTTAAGATGTCAAAAAGTGTAAAACATTGTTTTGAAATTAGCTGAAATTTTCAAACCCAAAACCAGTTTTTCCGCCAATCACCGATTAAAATGAGCGTTGAAATCTTTAGAGACAAATCAATTAACATTACAATTAAGAAGCAAACGTCTGTTAATCAGTCTATTTACTAGCAAAATATCTCCTTAAAACCTTTGGCAGGCGAAAAAAAATTAAGTTGCCGGCCTGATTCAAAATGGCCAAACAAAGCTCATAAAAAAACACTAGGGATTTTCGTTTTGTTTCGAAGCTATTTTGCCAGTTATTTGGTGAAACAGTCAAACGAACGGTCATAGATGACGTGTGTCGGCTCTTAAACGTATGTCTTACCCTGATCCGTGTCCGGATCCGTGTGATAGTGGTAACCCTGAGTGACGCCTTCGTGCGAATGCGCCCTACCTAACCTGTGCAATCTCGCCATTTGGGCGGCCACACTGTACGCTGGCGGTTGTCTTCTGCCGGGCCCTAAACAATTCCAAAAACCACTTAATAACACTAGCAACACGTATCGAAACCGTTGCTAATCGACGACGCAACCGTTGCTAATCGACCGGGCAATTTTTGGTTGCTAGTCGACAAACGCAACCGTTGCTGGTCGACTGGCGAATTTTTAGTCACAATTTATGAATAAAACGTAATTGAAAACTGATGTAATTAGAGCGACGTGGGATTTTGTAACTACATACGAATCAATTGATGAACGCTAGGATTTGTGTGGAAGTTCTATGTACAAATAAAATGCTAAAAAACAACATTCGTCGAACAAGCAATCGTGTACAGCACAAGCCGATCAAAGCGTGAGTTGAAACGTGATAAATATAAAAGGGAAGCAATATACAAGCAGGAATTTTTATCCATTTAGCCACTAACTAACAATGCTTTTCCTTCTACCATACCACAAACGAACCACCCTGTATAAATAAATACACTACTACTACGCGTTCATCGAATGATAAAGGAAAAGCAACGAAACGAATAGGAAAACCATCATTAGTGCCCAACTAGACAATGGAAATAATCTACTAAAAAGTGGCTATATACACAACAATAAACAATCTACCTAACGTAACTTACCATTGGCATTACGCAAAGCATGAGGTAAAGGGGGCAAAACGGCCACAGCATGAGCACAGGGGGGCATAGCACCGTTACGCATCGGAAACCACCCTATCACCAATGACAGACAAAACTAATCATAGCTCGTAGTAGGTGGAAAATAAATTTATATAAAAAAAACACACGCACAAGACGCAAGACAAACAAACAATCAAAATGCATGTTTCTCATTCGAAAGGGATTCGTTATAAGTTTAGTTCATAATTCGTCGCATTGTGTGATGTTGAATTTTCGAAAAATTTCATCGCTATTCCATCATCAACTCACAAATACTCCGAAAGAAACTACGACTAACCACACCGAATCGAGGCGGGCTTATAAAAAAAAACAAGTCGAGAAGAAAGATAGATCAAAGGGTACCGTACCTGGTATGGGCGGCGGATGCCTGGGCGGACTCGGACACCTCTGCTGATAGGAATGACAATCGGCCGAACTGCTAGTCACCTGGCTGATGGTACTGTGGCCCGAGTCCGACGACGAGACCGAACCTGCGTAGAAACAGAAAAAAAACATGCTTCGTTTCAAAGATCGTGCTCCACCGAAATGCACCCAAATAACATGCACAAAACAGGTTCGTAAAAGTGCTCGAAATCGTCAAGAGAGAATTAGTATGTACAATATTAAAAAAAATCAATTCATTGTGATGATGATGTATGATTCAAGTTTTTTCATTGCTAGTCGACAAAGAAACGTTGCTAGTCGACCAAACAAGCGTTGCTAGTCGACCAAACAAACGTTGCTAGTCGACCAAAACGACTACGGAATTGATCGATTGTCGATCGAACCGTTTTAACGCGAAATAAAAAGCAATTTGGACTCACCTGACGTGACGGTCTTCCTGAGCGGCAAGTTGCTCAGCGACGTGACGCTGCTGCTCTCCGCCGACAGCGCCACCGACGGCAGGGGCGTCGGCGTATCGGAGTGGGAGCGCTCGTGCATCGCCCTGCCGCCGGCGCCCGAACTGCTCGAACTGTGCGACCCGTAACTCGAGTAACTGCCTGCGAAACGCAACACAAAAAAAAACACCTTAAGTTCGTTGCTAATCGATTACTAACGGTCGACCAACGACTAGCAGTAGTCGTTGCTAGACGTCGACTAGTTAAGTATTAAGTATAAAGCAAGTATGTTGACGATGGAAGATTGAAATAATGTAGATAGAAGGATTTGGGGGGTGTACTTACCGGTCGCGCTGGGCGCCCTTCTGACCGCCGGGCTGGCTTGATTCAAGCCGTGAGCGGGCACTCGAGGTTGATGCGGCCTCGTTTTAGCCGGTTCCGATAATGCCAATAATTTCCTGACCGCTTGCGGTGAAGCCGAACCTGCACCAAGTCGATTAAACGTTGAAAATTATCGAAAAACGGCATAATTTAGTTTGTCCGTCGACTAGCAACGGTCGTTCGTCGATTTTAGCAACAGCATAATATTGTGGCAGAACGAGCAATCGGCATTATCGTGTACCCAAAGCGATTTGTTTTTATTTTTAGTAACTATTAAACGTTTATTCACTGCGATGTACAGAAGTGTTATGAATGAGAGATTAGGTTAGATAACAACGAATGGGCTAGGTTTAATGCCGATAAATCTTCGTTCGTTCGTCGGATTAGATTTAATTAGTCAATTAACAAAAATCATTGTCGATCAGCAATAATTGCCGGTCGGTTAATCGCATTTTTTTATCGACCGACAATCTTGTGATGTTGTAGTTTGACCGAGGACAAACGAAGGCCGAACGCGAGACTTACCGAACTTCGCCGTGGGTTTGCGCTCGTCGCTGGCGCTGCTGGTGCTGCTGGTGGTGGAGGGCGCGGGCGAGGCGTGCCTTTTGTTGGTCCTTTGCGCGGCCGTGCCGGACGAGGTGCTGCTGGCGACCGGCCCTTCGCATTCCAGCGACATTTCGTGCAACTTGGCCTCGTCGGTTTCCACTTGCAGGTTGTTCAGGTAGGCCTTGACGCGACGCACCATCTGCGATTCCTCGAACATCTTCTTGGGGTTGGGCGCGGCGGCGGATTTTTTCCTCCGCTTCACCGTCGCTTGGCCTGCAATCGAAACGTATTTGTCGAACGGGATTTTAGGATTTGTGCGGTGAAATTACCTTGAGCGTGGTAATTCGAAGCGGCGGTGGTGAGTTGGTTGAGCGCCACCATGGCGTTGCTGGCCGGCTGGCCTCCTAACTTGAGCATCGTCAGCAAATCGTAGGGGCTGCTGCACATGTTGCTCAACGATCTGACCTCCTTGGCTATCATTCGCAATTTTTCGAAGTTTATTAGGCCTTCTACTTTGGAATCGTTGCCCAAGTGTATGAACGTTAGGTCTTTCTTCACCACCGGGTAGAAGGGTATCTGAAAATCGGTCGTATTTTATATTAGATTTAGTCGTAGACTAAAGTCGAAAGTTTCGTCACGCAACATTCACAGATAATGAAAAGAGGTTGTTGAAAAGGCATACGTGAGATTCGAAAGGAGGATTATACATACTAAAACTAAAATTAATACGACAAAAGAAATAATAAATTTCGAGACAAGTTAGGTAAATTCTCGATGTATGTTACATAGAGATACATTCTTAGTCGAAGGTACTTCAGGTTTTGCATAGGCTTGATACTGATAGTTTTATTCATTATTAAACACCTATACAGGGTGAATCTCGAGCAACATTAGAGTATCATACAGTCAAGCCTCAGCAGAGACCCTGTTTTAGCAAAAAAATAACCAAAGATGATTACCACATATTAGTCTAGTATGCGTATTTTTACAATGAAACTAAAACAGTGTCACCTATAAACAACAACCAGAAGAGTGGATAGTATTTTCCAATAAAAATATACACAATGCATAGAATGACACTCAGACTTACAATATGCGTAAGTACCAGATAAGACTAAAACAAATTAACAATTGAAAACAAACAAATCGCAATATTATTGCTATAAATTGGCTTCGGCAAAAAAATAAACTAAAATCGACAACAAACTTACAATTGGCGGTTGCGTTTGTTCGGCGCTGACTAATTGACGGTACTTGCTCATGTTCCTCGACGGGTCCATGAGCTGCTGCAGCTCCGAGAACACCCGCTGGTACTTGCCGGGCAACTTGTCCCAGCTCTGCCGCAACCTGGACACGGCGCCGTGTCCCAAGCCGCTGATGATGGCGAACATCGAATTGAAGTTCTTGCACTCCTTGCATTGCCCTAGAAGAAACGTTTTGTTAGGTAACATCGAGCTCGCGAAGCGAACGAGAACGCTTACTGGCCACTTTGATGAATTGCTTGATGATCTTCATCCGCCTGACGGGATTGTGTTCGGCGCAGACCTCCGACACCACCCAGAACGTCTCCTTGTTGACGAGGTTCGCGAATTGCACCAACATCGGCGCCCCGTACTTCGACTTCAGCTCGAACAAATCGTCGATGTACTCGGTCGGCTCGATCTGCCTGAATATGCTGAAGTCCTGCAGCGTCAGCTGTATGGCCACTTCGACGGCGTTCAGTTGCAGGAAGTGCACGGCCGATTCGCGGACGAGTTCCGGCGCCAGTTCGTCAGGTACTAGGGTTTCCGTTACGCCGTTGGTTTTCAGGTAATATCTAAGCAACGATCATGCACGATATAGCAACATGTCGACCGACAATCGCTCGAGATTCGACTCACCTGCTGCTCAATCCTATCCTCTCGGCGAGGTTCTGGAGATCGTCCTGCAGCCGTTTCTGCTTGATCGTCTGATTATCGGTCACCGACACCTCGCAGAGGCTGAAGTTGCTGCTGGGATCGGTCATGCCGAATTCCTGCAGGGCCAGCATCACCACTTCGTGCGCCGTCGTCTCTTTGTGCACCAACAGGTATTTGTAACTTTGATCGGGTTTGTACACCTGGAAGATTACAATAAAAACCAACTATTCGGCAGGATATTCGAGTAAATACCTTTAGAACGTGCTCGGGGTAGTCGGTTACTCTTAAATCATCGTAGCAAATAGACATCAGATCAGGATTGCTTTGGGATTGGTACAAATTCGATCCTAACGTCGAAGGTGGCGTGAAGCTGTCTATTTGATCTTGCCCCAAACCGACGCTAAAGAAACACGTAATTAAACACCATTGAATATGAAAGCGCTAAATAAACTAACTTGATCATGTTCTTCGGGAATATGCTGATCTTCATCAACGCCTTCTGGAACTTCCCCAAGGTCATAAAGCTCTGCTTCTTCGCGCCCTCCTTGGCGGGACTGCTGATGGTGACCGGCTGGCTGGCGGGCGTTTCGTGGCCGAGGATGATGTTCCCGTCGACGCTGGACAATCGGGCTCGAGGGTCGGGCGCCAGCTTGGCGATCTCGGACACCTTCCGGCCGCGCGGCCTCGGCGAATTGTCGGGCGTGTTGAGCATCTCTTTGAAATGCAACAGGTTCGATTTGACGGTGATGCTCAAGTGGGTGGTGCCGCGGAGGATGTCGAGGGCGCGCGCGAGCGACATGTGCTCGAAGCTGTGGTTGTTCACCTCCAGGATCTGATCGCCGCGCTTCAGCCCCACCTCCTCCGCCTTGGATTTCTTGTCGACCTTCGATATGAATATGCCGAAGTTCCGCTCGAAGCCGCCCAGTATCTGGAAGCTCAGCGGCTCGTCGCGGTTCGGCCGGGCCAGCACGACGTTCCGTATCCTCGCCTTGGCCGCGCACGCGATATTGAGCAGCCTCAACTGGCCGACCATCTTCTCGGTCTCCAAGCCCTGCTCGAACGTCTCCAGGAACTCGATCATGTCCGGATCGGTTTCGAAGTCCGTGAAATGATTGTTCACCCACAACAGCACCACGCGCGTTACTCTGTCGCGAATTTCGACGTCTTTGAACCACTCGAGCAGCTGGCTGGCGACGAACAGGGGCGTGTTGATGAAGACGCGGTGCGTCAGCAGGAAATCCTCGACGTACGTCGGATCGGTGAGGGAGTTTTCTTCGATCAGCTGGCGCATCAATCGCTCGGGCGTCGCTCTGATCACGACGTGACCCCGCCTGGTGCCGGTGCTGCCCTCCAGCTCGGTCACCATCACCAGTTTGCCGTCCTCTTCGTGCCTTCGGGTGTTCTCCTCGCCTTGGTGCAGGATCCTGTAGTAGTCCGACTGCGTGATGCACACGAACTGGCAATCGTCGCACCTCGTTATCATCTTACCGTTGTGGTACATCTTGTCCATGGTGGGCAGGATGCCGAAGGCGTCGCCCATGTACAGGAACTTGCTGGGCTCCTGCGCGATGACGATCTCCACGGATCCGTTCACCAGCACCGACCAGGAGTCGAGCTGTTCGCCGTCGTTCATCACCGTGGTGTCGGCTTTCTCCACCACGGCGAACACCATGACGGAGCAGAGGGCTCGACGCACCGCCAGCGTCATGTTGGTGAAGGCTTTCAGGTGTTGCGTGAACTCCAGCAGGATTTCAATGTCGTCGTCGGTGCGCTCGGCCGGTTCTTTCTCCAAGCAATCTCTCACCCTGTCGCGCACCGTCAGGCTCTGTAAAGTCATCGATTTTTCGGCTGCTGCGGATGATCGAGGGGTGTACTTACGTCCATGCTTTCGGTGAGATCGTCCTCCTCGTCGCTGTCGACGATGCTCTCCACCAGGCCGGTGAGATCGAGATCGTCGCCCTCCGAATGGGTGGAGGCCATGGTGTCGGATCCGCTGTAGGCGGAACTGGTGTCCGACGAATGGGAACCTCTGCTGCACTTGTGATACAAACTTTGCTGCCTCGGGATGTTTTGGGCATACTAAAAGGTGAGGATTTGAAAGAAATTCGATCGTTAGGTATATTACAGTACTTACAGCATCTTCGAACATAATGTTGATACTTCTGTGTTGCGGATGGTCCATCAGCGGTGAATTTTGCAATCGTCTTTGCTCGATATCAGGATAATCGATCTGGAAATGAAACGATTAAAGCAACAAATCGATGGTTTTCATCCCGATTTCCCCACGTTTTAATGTACCTCCGTTTTCCATTATCATTCGTTACTGTTTGATTATTCGATTCGTTATCGGAATTTCCGATTGATAAGACGAGATAATATTAGATCACAATGCAAAGAAATTGCACGGTTCCCCTTCTAGCAAAGGGCGCAATTCATTATCGTATTACGACAACAATCGCCCGATAAGATACAGTTTGTATGCACCACGAAAACTAAAGTTATCGCGACTTGTACACTAACTTAGGTTTGATTTACCATGCGAGGCGGTACCTCCGGTTCCGGCGCCTCTTCGGAGGTCCTCCAATTGGGCCAGGATAGAGAATTGCTCCGTCTCGTCGTCAATGTCATCTTGTGCGCGTCTTTCGACAATCGCCTCCTTACAGTCCCATGCGATATGGACACCCTCTTTTCGGGCGGCAATCGATCCAATTCGATGGCCGTTTTGGCGGCGTGTTTCAACATGTTTTACAACCGACTGGCGAACTTATTGAGTTAGAATGCGCGTAAGAATAGCCGCGCACGGAGCGTCTCTAGCTATTCCTCTCGCATTGTAGGTGTTTTTAATAGGGTAGCTTTTTTGTGGGTTTTTACCTGATATGATAGATAAATGAATCTTTAGATGGATAATCGACTTTTTAAGATGCTTTTAAGCGACTTTCATGCGCAATTAAAATAACTTGTAAACTCGAATCGCATTTTTCACCTAGTTTGGAGTTAATTTAGATAAAAATTTGCTCCGTTTAAATATCCGGCTAATTGGCGATTTCATGAATGAGCTTAATAACGAGGTCGCGTTAGATAAACGTTTAAAGGGCGATTTAATTGAATGAAATTCAACGAGATTTGCGACGTTGTCGGTTCGTCGCGGAGATAAAGATAAAACCGTAATTATAAATGGAACATTTTAGCGGGCATTATCGGAATAGGAAGGAACTCGAATGGTAAGAGCACGAAATAATGCGATAATGAGAAAATTAATTGTGACAGAAAACGGTTTGTGTATAAACGAACCGGGGATAGGAAGCGAAATCCTGAAATGAACCTCGTTTTTTTTAATGATATAATTGCGCGTTTTATTAGTAATTTCAATGCGAAAAGTTGCGCATAAATGCGCCTTTTCGGACAGATAACTTGATGTCAAAGTGTCCATTTTATTCGGGTCCAAGTTGGGAAACTACATCGTTAAATTCATAATAAACTTTATCGCGCAGACATAAAAACAACCATAAAGATAGTAGTTTATTCCGAAAATTAAATTCCTCGTTTGAACTCGAGTTATACAATTTACCACAATTATTATTAAACTTGCTGCAATCAAAAATTTACCAATTATATGAATGTATTGTTGTAAGAAAATTATATAATAGTAGTTTTCGTTTGTTAATGTGTAGTCATCGCGGAAGATATGTGATAAAAGTGATAAAGTGATAGCACGAATATGGTGATAAATTTGATACAAGCAGGTAAAAATCCACAAAATTTGCATTAAAAATTCACTAATCTTACTTTTGCAAAGCTACTCAAACCGCAAATTCCTCCGCACCTCACTAATTTACGAAGAAAACCCCCACAAATAGATTTTCCATTTGTCGCACGGACGAAATGAAATTATTGTAATGCGACTTGCAACGTCGAATACTAAACTAATCTTTACTTGAGAGCGCAAATGTCAGATCTACGAAGAGGAAGTTTTGCTTCCTGCTGGAATACTCATGGCACAAACCACACATAATATTCCGATAAAAAATTGTGCATGTGCTCTCTAAAAACAGTACGCAGACAGACGTCGAGTTTGATGGAAAAAAAATTAAAAATAGTTCAACATATGCGCCCTTTTCCCATGTGCTCTCGTAGGTGCATCGATTTCACTTGCGCGTATACAGTACGTTCGATCTAACCCGGCGATGACGCCAAAGAATCTCGAAACCGCACGGTATAGTAAACGGCCCAATTCCTATCGAGTAACGAGCCGAGAGGCATCGAATTTGTATATTATGTGGGCTAAAAGGTCGTAGGTCACGGTACGGAGTTCATCATCATCCGTTGCCTAGGTAACTAGCCCTCGCGCGCACCTGTCTAACCCCCGGGATGAGATGAAATTAAACCGAGAACTGGTGTTTTTTCAATCGACAATAAGTCAGGTTGTTGCCGGTTTCTTACAGAAAATTCTATTTACTGTTCTAGATTGCTGTTTGTACAGCGTAATTCTACGGTGATGTCACGAACGAGTTATATTGAACGAACTATATGAACATTTATTGAGCCTACATAGGAACGTAGAAAGAAATATAGGGTGTAAATTCGGCGCAAAATGGACCATACATTATAATCCTGTAGGTAAAGTGATTCTACCAAAAATAATTATCTTTCAATCTATTGCACTTTGTACACCTGCATTGTACAGGGTGATCCAGAAACTGATACAGATTTAGGTAACAAATTTAGAGCGAAAAAATTATTCGTGAATATTATATAAAAAAAATTCACCCTGTGTAGACGAGCTGTAATAAATTTCGGAGACCTAACGAGGTGGAAAAAAGTTCTTTACTTGAGCAAACGCAATTAGCCCGCCGAGGCCAATTGAATTACGTTAGCCCTTTTATCGTTGGAACTTTTTTTTTTCTGTGTTCGTTTCGTAGGAGATACTTTGACGGGTTTTTCCGTGTGGATGGGGGGGCCGTAAAGCGTTAGCGATGGGGGAATCCAATTAATTTTTCGAATGAAATTTCGATTAATTGGGTCACGGGATGTTCGGAAAACTGGCGGAAAAGCGCTCTGTTAAAATAACTGTATTAAACAATTTTCTCTTGCAACTTTACAATTTTCCGAACCATAAAACTGATTTGGGAAAGAGTACATTTGTCACCGGTTCAATCGAATTACAACTAAATAATCGATTCGATCTCTCAACCGGTCGCTTATTGACTTATATCGAAAGTTTCCACTTCCATGATAATTTGTTTTTCGACTCTCGAAAGGGAAAGATCGTCGTCTAGGCAACTCGATTTAATCATTTACTGTCGAGCGCGAGCAGCCGAAGCGCTTACGATAAATCAGCGCGTTATTGTGTCTTCCAAAATACAGTCTTTAATGGAATTATATCGGAAAATTCCATTACCGAAACCAACAGTTTAACATCCAATACAATTTCGTACAAATGTGGCTATGGATCACTAAAAAATATTTCGAACCTACTAAATTTTGAGTGAATTGATTACCAGCGGTTACCCACAAAATGTTATCACACACACTGTATTATTCACTATTGGACTATTAATTTTTTTATCAAATAACTCTTCGTATCATCGCTGGCGCCAGTTTGTACCAACTCTTTTAACCGACACGTTAACTCATCACTCGTACTTTTAACTACTGACTAATTACAAGTATCTGTTATTATAAAAAATATATATATAAAGCAATTCTTACGAACACGTAAAGTTGAGAAATCACAAAAGTGAAACTGTTAACACTGAAAATATAACGAAATGTTTATTAAAACTTGGCTAATGCGAATGCTTCTAATGTATGTAGTTCAAATTTTCATACGCTCGATAATGATTTAAACGTCTGTAAATAATGGATCGATAATCGAAATCTCCCAACTAATAAATTAGCATTTCGCATATCACAACGATCGAATTAGTTAAGATATTAACGTTATGACGTCACGCCAGTTTATCTATGAACCTAACATACTCATATTATATAGGGTGTTAATTAATTGAATGCCGATACTTCAGAATGTGAATATTTGGATGATTTTAAGAAGAAAAGTTTGTATCAATGTATGTCCTAAACCTTACTTTTCTATCAATAAAGTTTCTTCTTAAAATCATCCAAATATTCACATCCTGGAGTATCGGCACTCAATTAATTAACACCCTGTATCTTTTATAAATCACTGTACCTTTTGTGGAGTTTTCAAACGACATTCTCGAACAATTTCGAACGAGCGCAAATTTCGTACTGATTTGGCTTTAGAGAATTTCGCGTGCGGATTTCGTCGTGAATCATTTGTGGAAGAAAAAAAATAGAGAAAAATTTCGCGGGCGTAATATGGCAAAAATGCCCGCCAATTCTTACGCTATCTGTTTGTTTTATAGCGAATTCCAGAATTTCGTAACGAAACAGTTTGCGATAAATACGCGAATGGAATTATGTTCACGATAAACTAGCACTGGAAATGCAATGGAATTCAATGGAGAGCAGAGCAGAGCAGAGCAGAGCAGAGCAGAGCAGAGCAGAGCAGAACAGAGCAGAGCAGAGCAGAGCAGAGCAGAGCAGAGCAGAGCAGAGCAGAGCAGAGCAGAGCAGAGCAGAGCAGAGCAGAGCAGAGCAGAGCAGAGCAGAGCAGAGCAGAGCAGAGCAGAGCAGAGCAGAGCAGAGCAGAGCAGAGCAGAGCAGAGCAGAGCAGAGCAGAGCAGAGCAGAGCAGAGCAGAGCAGAGCAGAGCAGAGCAGAGCAGAGCAGAGCAGAGCAGAGCAGAACAGAGCAGAGCAGAGCAGAGCAGAGCAGAGCAGAGCATCAAGTCTTTAAAAATTCCTCCACTCTCTTTTTCCACTTTTTCCAGACATCCATTTTTACATTTTTTCCGTGGAATTTCATATTAATAAACATCGGGTCAATTAAACAGACAATTGTGTGGGTTGGTATATCCGATTTCGCAAATATCCTCGTTTCGAGGAAATTGTAGAAAATCAAGGAAATCGGTGCGGTAACACCCGCGAATTAATCAAATAAAAATACGAAACGAATCCACATCATATCCTCCCGTGCGGTACGAGAATTACCGGTCATTCATCATGAATTACTTATAACTGATAAGGATTACAATTAAATCACCTACAACTGTGAGTCGAATTTACTCGAGGTTAAATGCAGCTGCGTTTATGAATCCCAAAAAACATTTAATTCTCTATTAATTGTCGATCAGTAAACGGTAAAAATGCTTCGTAAAGATTTACTTCTTCGGCAGGTACATTAAATTGTATTGAAATTTAAAAATAAACTCACCACAATCATCTCCGAGGGTTCCAAAACGAAGCATTCGTTTTGGCGACGAGCGCTCCCTCCGGTTCTTTTGCCAAAACTGTAACGAAAAAGATGATTTTTATTAAAATCTCCCAAATTATTTAAAAAACCACATATTTGTGTGCCTATTTTTAATTTCCACTACTCATATTTATGTAGAAAAATACTCTCAAAATAATAAAAACGCCTTATTTTCATATTTAAATTCCTGCTTCTGTTACTACCGTTATTTACGTAGAAAAATAGTCGAAATAAAATAAAACACCTTAACCATATCTGACGTTATTAAAGTTGTTGTTTCATTGACTTTTCGATATTCTCACGTTCGCCATTCGAGCATTATTCGAGCGCTCCGGCGAATATTCTTTTTGTTAAATAAACGCGGTAAAATTTATTGTTTTTACGCTCCGGTGAGTAGACTAAATAAATATTTTTCTTCGACGATTCGTTGTCGATTCCAAACGTTTAGGGGACAATGACACTCTACTAACATTAAATCCATCGAAACAGTTCGATCGGGTATAGATTATTGTTATACATAATACACAGGACATCCGGATAATTATGTAGTTATTGCCACAAAAAATATACTTTTAAATAAACCACATTCAAGCTAACCGAGCGATGACGCCACAAGCTTAATAAATCAATCTCGAATGTAACAAATTGAATTAATTTCGTTCGTTGTGAAATACCAACTAATCGAATTAAATTATCAGTTTAATCGCCCTTTCCTCCCGCTTTTCGTCCTTAATCGCACGCGAACGGATTTGCTCCGAGGATTACACGAGGATTTTAAATCCTTCGGTCCTGATTCCATCGCGCGACGGCCGCGGTTCGCGTTATTTCATCGAATAAATAACGAAACGTTTGGTCGTAGAAAAAATTACGTCCCGGACTGGTGATGTTTTTACCGCTTGTGACGCACGTACGCGACAGAAAGAAAATATGACGTCAGGAAGCGTTTCCGTTATTCGTACAAAAAGAAAAATGCTCCACAATCTGCTCCGTATCTTTCAATTTCCAGATGATTCACAAGTTATACACAAGTCGTCGGTGTGAAGTATTCGAAGGAGGCGATAAAATATTTAATAACGAGCTTCTTATTCATCTTTTTATGTTCTTATTATCTTAGTCAACTGCTCGTGGTATTTTTTTTTTTAGTTTTATGTAATTACTCGTATAGTGAAGCTAAATTGAGGATACAGGATTGACATTGATTGATAGATTAGATTAATTGGTATCAATCTAATCGTCTATTACAACCCCAAGAGAGTTTATTATCAACCCAAGAGTCCATTACCAGACCAAGAGAGTCAATTACTGACCCCAAAAGAGTCAAATATCAATCTAATCGTCGCTTATCACCTCAAGAATGTTCATTTTCAACCCAAAGGAATCAATTATCAACCCAAGAGTCAATTACCAACCTTAGAAACTCAATTATTAACACAAAAGAGTCAAATTTCAATTTAATCGTTCATTTCCTCCACAAGAAAGTTCATTAACAACCCAAAAAGAGTCCACTTTCATCGATTATCAACTTAAGATGAATCAATTGAGTCAATTACCTACACAACACCCCTATAATCACCCCCCATAAATCCCTATAATTCGAATACACCCTGTACGTACCGATTCCGGTCATTTCTAATCCAAAACCAAGCGAAACCTTGAAAAACCAAAAAATACAGAAACACAGTTTTGTCTCGCACACCGGAAACAGGATATATACAATATCGACGGTAACCACCACCGGTTATTTCGCTACATTCGCAACCCCTCCGAGCGCGTATACGGGGGACGATGGAGAAATTCGATGCGAAGCGATCGCTTCGAGGAGAGACGAGAGACTGCCGGCGACTGTATAGGGATGTAAAATAAGGGTGTGTGTGCGAAGCGTAGGGCGGCTGTGCCGCGGCGTTTTCGACGAGACGGGAAATAATATTCCAGATAGGACGAAAACTACCCTATATCGCTCCGCTGTTTTGCTCCATGTGTATACACCTTGTACAGGGACGGTTCAATCGGTATATAAATAAAATTCTGTCTATTATAATTTATCAGGGCGCATGTAAATTAAAGGGTGCAAAAGGGATTATAGATTATCCTCTAGGTAAATTGGGCGCAAAGCTAGAATAAAAATTACAATTCCCCTTGCACCCTGCTCTGATCTGGTATCCTCTACTCTGTTCTACTCTACTCTACCATACCCTATAAGTGGTAATTTTATTACACCTGTACCGGATGGACTTGTATGAAAACATAATAATTTTTAGACTTTAAACCCTCGAGCCACCCCTGCATGTACAGATAAAAACACGAGTACAATACGGTAAAATATAACGGCATACGGAATCGCCAGAACCCTATACAAGGTGGGTTGGTAAACCCGGCAATATACAGGGATTTGTAAGAAGGGGTGTGTGGTGAAACTCGTAAATTTCGCATCGGTTTCAATAAAATATATACACGTGTTTGAGGCCAATTTTACAGTTTGATGGACTAATTAGGGGTGTTATTTTATTGCATCGAGGTCTGGCTGGTATTTAGCGACAAAATTGAACGTAAATAAAACATAACATGTCAGTAATAAATACCAATAATGGTGTCCGATTTGTCAACCTTCGGTTTTAAAGTTTAAATTTACCACAATTAATAGTGATAATTGACAATATTTGAATACTAATCGACTATTTGGTACAATTCGGATTTTATTTTTATTTTTTTTTTTTCGAAAAAGGTTATGAAAGTTTGCAATTTTGTTGCATGGAAAACGTCTATTGTCGGGATTACTATGAGTCGATTTCCAACAAAAATATTTGTTTGAAGTAACTCTCACCGAGCGTATGTGTGATGTGATAGAAAACAACTTTTATTACGGGCACACTGTAAATACCTGCACGTACCAGTTACCACAAAAAAGCGGTAATTGCCACTCGTGGCACGATTCAATCAAATAAAGAACGTTCGGTCAGAAATTAAGAATTTCCATTGAAGAAAAATCAAGGCCGACGATTTTTTTTTTCGGTTAGAAAATTGCGCATTTTCGTACGATTGTTTTCGAGTAAAATGCAAATTGTTCGCTAGGATATTAGAATTTCTTTATTAAAATCACATGCAACGCGTGCAGAATAAATAAACATATCAAATTCATCGTAAATAAGGTCGATCAAAGATCAATTAAAATGTAATTTCGCAGAAAAATATTACCCACTTCGTTTTATTATACGAAATCAAATTCTCCAAAAAAAATGTTTACACCGTACAAGCAATTTCCATTATTCTTGCATAAAATACCTTTTTGTCGACCATCTTAAATTCCTAACTGTTTATCATTATTAATTATCGACTACATAACAACAGATACGCGAGGTTAACGCGATGCTTGCGCAAGTACAAATGCTAAATAAAATTCCGAAAGGAAATTATCATTTATTACAAGCACGAATAGCCACTCCGATTTCCATTCAATTCACACTTCCCAACAAACGCTTCCATGCACACATGCACTCGTAAGGAAAAATTCGATAACTTCAAGATGTTGCCCGGTCGTTTTGGGTGAACTGCAGGAAGGGATTCTCTAATAAATCCCCTCTAATTAGCGAACATTTGTTATAGAATATCCGGTCGAAGAACCAGCAGCGGCGTAAAATCGTTACAAGAGGCACCTAACGAAGAAAAACGGGACGGGGCGAGGGAACGGGGGCGGCGAAGTTAAAGGCGAGAGCCGGCGGGGAATTGGAGTGTGTCGATGTTAAAACTCCATTTTGTTTTATCCAATTACACGGGTCTACGTCGGACTGCCGATAACCGTCTAACAACTTCGGATAAGGCCCGACGACCTACGCTCCGGGCGGTATAGGTATAAGGAATTTATTTGAGCACCTATTAGGTACAAGCAATTCGGTTTTGATGAAGAATTATTTCCCGATTATGGCTCAAGAAGTATGGTAATGATGTCACGTTGGGATGTATAATTCATCTAATATATCAGCGCGATGACGTCAACAATGGATTAACGTGCTCGAGTGATATGAATACACGAATTCTGCGGATAATAATAAGTAGGCATTCGAAATAAAGCTCAGCGTTTTAGTGACAACAAAACAAACACACGTTCCTAACGACGTGTTTACGCTGAACAAAGGAGCTTTTTCGAGGATTGTTTTTTTTTATTTTCTCGGTCTCCTTACAATGCTTTCGACTCCCCCCTGCCCGGTTTAATTAGAAGAGGCATCACAAAAGGTTCGGTTATGATTGTCCTAAGTGCTCTGTCAATTAGCAAAATTTCACCTATTGATGAATAATTTTCTTTCAACATTGTTAAACTAGAGACTCCTCATTTTACTTGACGTATGTAATAAAATAAACATCATCTTCATATACACTAAATATCAAATAAACTTTACTGTATGTATCATATTACATTATTAACAGCCTCGTACATAAACTTCTATAATCCTATAAAATTATTATCGATATAGTTCTTTATAAAGCTACCCGAACTATGGGACCTTTTAGTTACAAACTCGCATAAAACAGCTCTAACAAACTAAGCACTTTAAGCGACACGCTCCGAATATTCCCATTCCTATTCCGATATATTTAATCGCTTAAATTCCGAACTGAAACTTTTCCGCGCCGTTGCCAACCGATAGATACAGATACTCCATTTCGGTCGTGATTTCCCTTATCTCTCGTTCGAACGAGATTTAACAATACCTCTGCGTTATTTAGCGCGCCCTGTAGAAGTTTTCCGATAAGTAGGTGCTTGTCTCGAGCATTTTTTTTCTGTTAATAAACGCTCGCTGAAACTGCGAAAGCGGAGATAAGGTCGTAAAATCGAACGTAAAATCGCCTCGGAGAAGAAAAGGGAGATAATATACTAATATAGCGGGTGTAATATAAGACAATAGGATGAAATACGAGTAATATGCAGGGTGTAAAAGCGAGAATATGAGAGAAATTTGGAAATATATACGCAGCATGACATCACCAACCTAAAATATTGAATGCATTATATGTACTACTGAAATAATGACCAAAAATACTCAT